CCTGGATAATTTAATGATTTAGCAAGACCATTACTGAAAGGGAGGAACTTAAAGAGGGGAGTCTAAGAATGTGGCTCAGAACTAAGGCTTTGTGTTCAATCCCCAGTACTGAGGAAAAAAAGAAAGAAAAGAATACTGCTTAATTTTCTATTTTCAAAAATGCTTTATATACTGAGCAGACAGACTGAAATCACATTGAATTTATTTCTATGTGGGGTCAGTGACTTGGGTCATCTGTTAAAAGGGGCCATGAATTAATCATAGGCTGTTAGCATTGGAAAAAAGGCTTTGGATTTTCTTTTCTTTGTTGTCAAAGACCTGATCTCCAGGTAGGGATTTGCTCTGCTCTAAGGTAGCTTTGCAATGAGTTGTGCCCCGTACTTCCACCTTCACGATTTTCCTCTTCCTTCCTTTTCTTTTACCAAGGAGCACAATGTCTCCATCAGGGTGAACGGGGAGTTTCTCTTCAGGGAGCTGCAGCCGGACACAGAGTACATGGTCCGCATTCGGTGTATCGAGGCCACGCACTTGTGGAAATGGAGCGAGTGGGCCTCACAGACGTTCCTCACAGCTGAGGCAGGTATGTGAGCTCCCTGTCACTTGCCCCAGGAGCATGTAGGCCTCAGGCCATGGGCTGGGTTCCCTGAGCACCTTTTGCTCTACCAAAAAAAAAAATGAGGGAAATATGAAAACAGAAACAAGATACCATTTTTAAAAGACTGGATTAGATGCCTAATGAGTGGGCAGATACTGGCTTCAAACATTAGATGTCCGTATTATTTCTACTGTACATTTTCTCTCTTAACTTTAATTTTTGCAAAAGTCAACAAGCTGCTTATAGGGCTGTATTCACTTTGGATCTCAGCTCTGCAAACTGGTATAGAGAACGCTAAATTCTGGTCTGGGGACAAATCAAGCTGTAGTGCTATGGGAGTTGGTGGTCTTAGACTAGACAAGTGAAGCTGCGTTTGGGGTGGTAGTGATACTTGGACCCTCACTGTTTTTGGTAAGTGGCTTGTTCCAGAAGTGGCACACCAGGTCTCTTCTCCACAGCTCTGGGTGGTGGAATTTCTTCAGGTCTGACTGCACAGTTTCTTTTCCTCAGTTACTATATCTAGAGCTCAAAGGAGCCTCGGGAGAGAAGGCGTGGCCCTGCACCCAGCTCTTCCTGGCTCCAGACAGTAAGCATCATTATGCCTCTCTTCCAGATGAAGCGACTGTATAGGTGAGGGAGGAGATTCAGCCTGCTTGCCCTGTTAATGGGCAGCCAAGATAGGATAGCAACAGGAGCAGCTCGCTTTTGTTGTGTGCCAGCCAGCGCTCCAAGCACTCACTGCGCCTGTCCCTTTTACCCCAGCTACACATGTAGGTGCTCCTTCCTTTACAGATGAGGACCCCGAGGCACAGAGAGGCAGGGTGATTGTGCTGGCGGATCCAGTAGGTGACTGAGCTGCTCCACACAGCCTGGCTGCAGATCTGCAGTGTGGGTTCCATGCGATTTCTTTTTTTTCTCCATAATTTTATTGAGAGACAAATAGCAATGGGACAGTTTCAAATCAAATTGGTAGGACAGTTTCAATAATTAACACATTGCATACTCTCTTCCTAGTGGTTAATTGCTGTACAAGATGTGGACATGATATCCTATTTATAAGCACTATTACAACAATTCCCTCTACTCATTAAGAGAATGTAACCATATATCTATCCTAACCACTTTGAATACACAGATACAAAATAGACATTCATCTGTATCCCCTTTTTTGTTTAGTTCTGTTATTTGAATATTATAGATGTGTTAACTCAGCAAAATATCCTAAAAGAGTCCAGTAGTCCCTAATAGTATTGGGTCTTCCGCTTGACTGGCAATGTCAGAAATTGTTGACCTGAGTCCCCTACAGCTCAACATAACAGCATGGCTTTACTTCTTATATTTCATTTTTATACTTTTCTGCTGGATGGTTAAGACCAAGGTAAAGCAGGACCTATGCAACAACAGTTGTAGCTTTTGGGTCTGATAAGGTCAGTGAAATCCCGTCAGGATTTTTCCTGAGATCCTGTACCTCAGATTGTAGATTCTTTGTCAGTGTCAGCCATGTGGATGAGTCATGGCCATTGGTTGGCCAATGTGCTCTCTGTGAAAGGCTGAGAAAATGTTTTCTTTCCATGTGACTCTCCTTAGGCACACTCTACATCATCGATCACTTTCCTCTTTGGTCCCATAATCTCCTTGATCAGAAAATTTGGGACACTACTGAGTTACATGAAGTTATAGTACAAGTTCTCATCTGTCCTGAGTCTTAATTGACTTTGGTAGCCTTCCATGCGACTTCTAACTGGTGGAGCTTGAAGGTAGCTAACCAGAAGCTGGCCTGGGCAGTGGTCCCTTGCTTATCGTGGAAGTCCCCCGCCTCCCGCGGAGGTTACAGTCCAGACACCCCCATGATAATTGAAAATCAGCAAAGTAGCAACATTATATTTATTTTAGTAGTTATATCTATTTTAAAGTTTTATAAACCCTTCCCACACTTTTTGAAAACACTTCTAATGTTCTCAACTATTTTCTAAACTCATAAACCTATGTAATTTTAGCAACATATATACACTGCACTGTTCCTCAAAATCCTGCGATCCAGTGGAAAATCCGCAATAAATAATTTACATGAATATTTTTTTGAAAACTCGCGAAACGATGAGTCTGCAAAAGTGGAGCCGCAGAATCGCGAGGGACTGCTGCATAGTGCCCTCAGCCATGTCCCCACAATGTCTTATTTTGAGCAGTGCTGTCATTCACAAGCCCTCTGAATATTTTGTACTACGTTTGGAATCTTACACCGGGCCGGAGGTTTCAATTAAGTATTTAATGCTGGCTTTTCCAATAGTTTATTAAAATTATTGAAATCAGTTTCCATATATTTAAAAAATATGGGGTGACCTTTAAGTGGAGTGTTGTTTTGGTCAGCTTTTCTGTTGCTGGGACCAAACAGCCAACACTTGCAACTTAAAGGAGGGGCAGCTTCCTTTCAGACCAGAGGTTTCCACCCTTGGAGCTGAGGGCTCCGGGCAGAAAAGTCATGGAGGGAGGAGAGAGCGAAGCTGCTCACACTGTGGTGCTTGGAAACAGCAGCGGCGCGGCGAGTGGGCAGGGCCCGGGGAGTGCTGGCCGTTGCAGGAGGGAGTCCAGCATACCTGTGGCAAGAAGAAAGTGTCCGTGACTAGCATGGATATTAGGAAGTGACCTAAGTGTTAACTCTTGAGTATTGTAGATCACAAGATGGAGATGAATCTTTGTGTTACTTTTCAAAACAACTCTTTCAAAGAGCTATTTTCCTCAGTGGATTAAAGTGCTTGCAAGCAGGCACCGGAGCCAGGAGTTCAATACCCAGGCCTGCCCTGCCGGCCTCACCCCTGGGGCGCACTGAGATGGCAATTGAGACTGGGCATGGTGGCACAAGCCTGTAACCCCACGCTCTTGGGAGGCTGTAAATAGGCGGATCACTATGAGTCTGATCTAGTAGCAAGACCCTGAACCCTGCAGACTCTGCAGACCCTTCCCTAAAGAAAAAAAAAAAAAAAAAAAAAAAAAAAAAAAGGTATTTTCTATCAACCAAATGACTTACTTTCTTGTAAAAGAATATAAGACTGGTGGAACACCTTGTTAGTTTTGTGATGGTTGCTGTTTAACCCTCTAGAATTTAATTGCTTTATCTATTTACATAGTTACTTATTTTCAGTACTGGGGATTGAGTCCAGAATATTAGGATTACAGGCAAACACCACTAAATCTGGGATTTAGGCAAAACTTTTCAACCATTTTAGGGTGGAAGATTTATATTACAGAATAGAAATCGTAAAAGGGAGATGGTATCATTTTACTTTCAGTTTGCAAAAGCAGAGTGAGATAAAATTTCGGTACATTCACAAAATGTAGTTGAATAGAGAGAAGTTGTTAAGATGACTTGCAAGGGGCCAGGGAGATGGCTCAGTAGGATAAGTGCTTGACTGGCAAACGCAAGGATCTGAGTTCAATCCCCGGTTCCGCCAAAAATAAAAAATAAAAATAAAAAAAAAGATGACTTGCAAAGAAGATGTGCGGTTAGGACCCCCAGCAGGTGATCACAGTACCTGTGGGTCCTTCTTGTTTTCTTGCTTTTTCTTCTACTTTTACTTTTTCTTTTTTCTCTTTCTCTTTCTCTTTTCTTTTTCCTTTCCTTTCCTTTCTTTTCCATTCCCTTCTACTTTCTCTTCCCTTTTTTCTTTCTGTTCTTTTAGTTACTGTGGCACAGGGTCTCACTGCATTGCCCACCCTTGTCTTGAACTCGTGATCCTCCTGCCTGCGCCCAAATAAATGCTGGACTGAGAGGCACGCACTGCTGTGGGAGGCAGAAGTTGTTTGTCTCTGTGGACACAGTGGCGGCTGACGACAAATAGCTCTGGTGGTCGAGGAATGTTACAAATATGTTTTTCATTTTTTTGTCCTATGCTTATTAAAGTATTACCGTAACAGAAGTCTGAGAGTACAAAGTGCAATTCCCGATAGATTAGATGATTACATAAATATTAAAGAAAATGACTTAAGCTGAAAACTATGTGCTCATTAAGACATTAGTAGTATTCTTAAAAATCAGTGAAGATATGTGCTTCTTGAAGAATTTAAAATACATTATATAGATTTTATCATTTTTTCCATCACCAAGATACCATCTATGTGCATTTACTTGAACTTTTCATGCAAACTGAGCCCCCACATGACTACATATTTCCTAAAGGCACACAGTGTCACTGCTGAGGCCCTGACTATCTTAGGTTCAAATCTCAGCATTGCTCTTACATCTAAATGACTTTTAGCAATTAGTTTAATGTCTGTAGAGCCTAGTGTCCTTATCTACAGAATGCATAAATAAGAATGTCTACCTCATAGAGCTAGGAGGAATCAGTGAGTTAGGATATATAAAATGTGACTGGCCTGGGATTTTATAACCCTTACGTAAATATTAGCTGTCATTTTGTATAAATGAGATCTTCCCAAACAGTTTTATGTGAAGGCACATACATATATATAGCTGACCTGAATTAAAAGACTTATTCCTCCTCATGATAAGTTGATTGAGTAAGTATAGATTCCATGGAAATCAGTCAACCCACCAACCAATCAGTAAAAATGTTTGCATGGAGGCAAGAAAAAAAGGGGTTTTGTAGCAGCTCGGCGGGTCTTTTCCTGGGTTCTCTCTTGCCTTGCCTTTGACTCATTCAGACACTCTTTGTAAGTGCTTTCATTAAGTGCTAGACCCTGAGCCATGTATGATAGTGGCAAGGTCAAATGAAGAAGGCTTCTGGGCCTTTGGCCGTGTGGCTTATAGACAGAGACCCAGAGAAGCAAGTGATTTTAGAGCAGGGCAGCAAGAACATCTTAGAGGGGAGCTGCAGCAGGTGCCCTGCATGTCCTCAAGCCAGCAGCTGCCTCGGACTCAGGCAGCAGTGGGGGACAAGGCGGTGCTTCCAGTGACTTCAGCAAAGGGCCTGCAGAGGAGGTCATGAGGGCAGAGCCCCAGTGGCAGCCTTTGCATGTGGCGCAAAGAGGTAGCAGTGGCCCACTGCCTAGAGAGTAAACTGTAGGCCATTACTTAATTGGCTTTCTAGAACTGGTCTCATTGATAGATGATCTCAGAATCTTTCATTGGCTTCCAGAAGTTGTAGGACTTGGTGCTTACAAAGGTTTCTAGTTTGGGGGCATTTTTAGGGGCAGCTGATGCTTTCTAAAACACCAGCTGTGTGTTCCCTGAAGAAGGGTGAACGGTGTCGCTGTGGCAAGTGAGCAGAAGTCAGAGAGTGAAATGCGAGCCACAAACCCAGGGAGGAGGCAGGCGTCATCCCAACGCGGAAGCTGAGTGTCTCTCGCTGTGCACACATCACATGACCAAGGACTGTTCTGGTTCATTTCAGCTCCCTCGAAGGCTCTTGATGTCTGGAGAATAGTGAGGTCTGACAAAGGACTTCATAATGTGGCATTACTCTGGAAGGTAAGTTGTGTAGTTTTAAAGTGTGTAACTTGCTTCCGTGTGTGTGTGTGTGTTCAGTGTTTTTCATAGTGAAACTAAGTATTGGAGTCTTTCTGTAATTTAATAAAATTGCTCACTCCATGGAGGAATCTCTCTGCACACTCATGTCTTCATTCTTGAGCTATAATTCTTCTCACAGCCTATGACATTGATGATGAATTCTGATTACTAGAACCTTCTTCTTTATAAGTTCTACTGAAGCCTAGTCCCAGCTGTGTAAGGCCCAGAGTAAGGTAATCATAGACACACCACATACACTATATTTTAAAACTATGAGCTGGGTGCAGTGGCACACGATGATGATCCCAGCTGCTCAAGAGGCTGAGGCAGAGGATCACAAGTTTGAGGCAAACTTGGATAACTCAGTGAGATCCTGTCTTGAAATCACAAATATAAAGGACCAAGGATGTAGCTGCATGCCTAGTTATGAGCGGCCATGAGTTCCCAGTGCTATAAAAATTAATTCATTATTCATTTATATTTAAAAACTACAAACCAAGCTATGAAGCCTGACTGCTTTCCTTCCACTTAGCCTACTAGCTTTTGTGACATCCTGGAAGGCCATCTTGGCATCTAGAACTCTTGGGTTCTCCAGTGTCTCAGACCCAAACATGGCGATATGACAAGAGTGGACACCCCACCAAAGCTTACACTGCTTTTCCCCACCTCTCATTTGGCACGTTCCTCAAGGACTCTGTGTACACACATGTGGACCTGCTGGTCCCCTGACCAGGCTCTGTCCACAGCCCTAGGAGACGGCCTCTTTTTGGCCTCAGGGCTGGGGGTGAAAATGGCAGGGTCCAGTGTCTCATGGAGGCTGATGAGGAGTGCAGGCGAGAAATTCTCTCTTCTAGAAGAAGGAAGGTAGACTCTAGGTGTGAGAAGGAACACCGGATGAGGGGTGTGGCTGGCCCCCACTGGAGCCTCCAGATGTGCAGCTTCTGCTACGGGTCTCCTCTGCTGCCCCCTGCATCTTTGTTTTTGTTCCAAGTTAGGGTCTCCTGTCCTCTGGATTCCGAGTCAGGTCTTTCCTCCCTGGACAAATTCTATCTTGAGCTTTGTCTCTTTATGATTGTCCCCTCTACTCACTTCAGTTAGATTAGGATACCTGATTCTAAGCTTAGTGTGAAGGACTGTTTTCATTGTTAAAATGTATGAATTTGCTGATGTGTGCGTGTGTGTGTATGTGTGTGCGTGTGTGTGCACGCGAGCATGCGCACATTTGCATTTGTGGTTGTCAGGCAGTTCCTAGACAGAAGAGATGAAAAAATAAAACCTAAAATACTTTCAAAGTAAAATGCATTTTGAAATGATTGTCAATATTCTTTTTCAGCCACTGTCAAAATTTCATGCTAATGGCAAGATCCTGTTCTACAATATCATTGCACAAAATTTAGATAAAAAATCTGAGTTAAAGCGCCTGTGTATTCATGCACCTGCCAATGGCACAGAACTAACCTTGGGCCAAGGTTCTTACCAAATCCAAGTCACAGCTAACAACAGTGTGGGCACGTCCCCTGCCTCAGAGATTGTCATATCTGGGAGCTCTGAGAATGGTGAGTTAGTTTTGGTTTCATTCTCTAGGAAAATGTTGATGATGTTGCCGAGTGGTTATGGATGACCTGCGAAGACAGTACTTTGGGGAGACAGCATCCAAGCACCCCTAGCTCTTTCCTTTTGGGCCAGGTGTTTCAGTGGGACAGTCTTCTGATGGTGGGAGGGAGATTTCAGCCGTAGCTCAGATCATTTCTGTCCTGGCATTCTTCAACATACTTGTTGAATTATCTCAAATGTATTCAAGTAAATGCAACCCCACAAGCAGTCCTTACTGAGAATTGGGGGGTATCATTGCTTTGTGGCTCAGGAAATATGAACTGCACTTTAGTGTATCGTGAAAAATTTTGTCAGTCTTTGTCACCTACAAAGAGGCCGTAAACATTGACAGAACTAATAACAGCCATTGCGTCATCATTGTTATGGTTTGTGTCTAGTTGTCCCCTCAAAGCCTCATGCAGTCATGGGGCTGGGACTTCTAGAGTTTGAGATTAACGCATGATCCACTGGGATTTATGGATTTTAGTACTGCTGGGATTATGTATGTCAGTGCTACACCCAGCCTGAAGCGGACAGCCTGAATGCAATTAAGGGAGACAGAGAGACAGACTTCCTCTCTGTTGTCATTGTTGCTGTTACTCCTCCATTCTGCTCTGTGCCACCATGCAAAGTTGCTCTCTGCCCTGTGCCACTCACTGAGTATGGACTGGAACCTCCAGTAACTGGGAGCTAAATAAACCTTTCCTTCCTTCATTTTGGGTGTTGGGTATTTGTCCCAGCAACGAGAGAAGAGTAACCGAGACAGTCATTCAAAAGGGAGGTGCCTTTCCAGTTTTGTAGAATGAAAGAGGATCACTGACCAATCTTAAACTGGGACAGAGAAAGTGAGGTGGGAATGGCCTCGCCCACAAAGTCATCAATGACTTCAGTTTCCTTCTCGGTAAAGCCATAGGGAAGCTGGAGCACAGGAATACCTCTCAGTCAGGTGCTGTAATATGATGTGCATGTGGGCCTGAATCAACTAGTAGTTGACTCTGGAAGGCTGTTTACCCATCTTGCAACAATGTCACCCTTTAGTTTCTGCTGTAACATTTGTGACCTGCACCTAAAGTTATATTGTACCAATTATTAAACCTTTCCTTAAATTTGGGTTAAGTGGACCAGATCAGGGGATGCTTTTATTTATTTAGTATTTTTTAGATAAGTTCTTGTTATGTAATTCAGGCTGGCCTTGGTCTCACAGCAGTCCTCCTGCCTCAGCCTTTCAAGTGCTGGGATTACAGGCATGTACAAACATGCATGGCTCTACTTCTTTTAAACAACTATCTGTTGTGTGTCAGATGAACAAAAGAAAGTAGTCATACCACAAAACAAAAACTAAGTTTGTGAATGAGTGTATTAGAGAAGAGAGGGAACAGGTATATTCTAGTTTTATTAGGACCAAAAAGGAGAAGTGGGCATTTCTGAGCGAGCTGGCAGAGGAAGGGACAACTGCCACTCAGGAGGGCCAGAGCTCCCTGCCATTCTCAGGTGTGGGGCTTCTCTGCCTGAGTGCCTGCATCCCCTCCAGCCCTGGTCCTGCCCGCACACCCCCAGTCCTCTTCATGTGAGGCTCTAGCCAGCCTTCCTCAAGTGGTCAGTGTTCTTCATTCCATAATGTGCTTTAAGTTGTTATTTGCCGTGAGAAAGGCAAGGTTATGCCAGCTCACACTGGAAAGTGAGGCACTGACATACACCATGCCTGTACTCTCCTTCCCCCATCAACGTAGAGTTGGGATTTGAAAGATGCAACTTGCTAAGAGTTAGAGTCCTAGGTGTGGAGTTCGACTTTAACCTGGATGAATGCATGAACTGAAAACTGCCTGCCTCACCACGAGGGGGAATTTGATTATTTGAGGGAGAAAGAGAAGGAAGCCATAGGATGGAACGCATGAAGCCTTCTTAGGCTTTTACCTTACAAACAGGACTACATATTCCTTTCTGTGCATCCACCTTTTAACCATTTGATGTCCTAGAAAAATTAATAGCCTCATACTTTCACAGCAATGTTTCTTGTAATCTGAATTGCCAAGGAGGATGACCAGTGAAGTAAAATAAATCAGTTTTTGGGGTAAGTCAAGCAGGAGAAATTCTGCTGCTTCAAGGTCAAGGCATGGCCCTGCTTGCCATCAGTAAAACTGATAGTTCTTTGAGGCTCTTTCTTCCAAATGTTAGTCAGGAAATATGCCTGGGCATATAAAATAGGCTGAAATGGTAACCTCTTTCACCAATTATGTCCACTTCCCTGCTTGATCCAATGTAGTCTACACTTGATATGTTTCTACTTAAATACTTACCCCCCTCCAGATGCAGTGGTTAGTTCAGGGAGGCCAGCACCATTGTAAGGGAGCTAAGTTATGTTAATTATTCATTAAAAGATAATTTTTGATGCAGGGACTGGGGCTTGAGTTCAATCTCTGGTGTGCCATGCTGGCCCCACCCCCAGGGGTGTGCTGAGATGAGATTGAGACTGGGTGTGGTTGTGCACACTTGTAATCCCAGCACTTGGGAGGCTGAAAACACAAGGATCACTAGGAGTAGGACCGGTGTAGTGAGACCCTGTAGACCCTGTATTAAATGCACTTTTTAAAAAAGACAGGTTTTGAAAACAGATCTGGGACCACCACAGTTTCAGGTCAAGAAAGAGCAACTCTCTTGGTAAAGAACTTTGAAGGGCATATAGTCTTGGTTATATATCCTACACTCTCCTTTGTTGGTTTATTTATTTTTACAAAATCCTTCTTTATTCAAGGGTCAGTGAAAACAAACCTCAGAGCTAAAATTGTCCTGTTGATAATAGTTTATTGACTCCTGTTCTGAGGTTCAGAATCTGGCTGGGTCTCTAGAGTCCAGGATGAAGCAGAGGTGGAAGTCTACACCCAAGTCTCAGCTCCTAGCTGTCAGATGTGCTTTTAGTTAGTGTTCTGTGACTGTGACAAAATACCTAAGGCAAACTTATAAGCAGGAAATGTTTATCCTGGATCATGGTTTCAGAGGTTCAGTCCATGGTCAGCTGTGGTGAGGCAGCACATCATGGTGGGGAAAGAGAGCATGTTGGAGCTCAAGTACTCACCCAAGCCCCAGGAAACAAAGAAGAAGAGGAAGGTTCTCTAAAAGGCACAGCCCCCATGACCTAACTTCCTCTATCTGGGCCCCACTTCATAAAGCTTCAGAACCAGGTCTTTATCGGTTGGTCTCAAGGATATTTTAGATTCAAACTACAGCAGATATTCTGCATATGTATGTTATTCTCCTCTTCAGACATTTTTAAAAGGTTACAATGAATTAAATCAGCAGCATTCCTCTCTTTATTTCTGTGCAGAAGAGGTTGAAGAAGAAAGAATTAATGGCACTGAAGATGGATTCTTTATATCTTGGAAACCTCGATCTGGTAACATGACGAGATACGTCGTAGACTGGTGTGCGCATCCGCAGAGCCTGCACTGTGATTTGCAGTGGAAGCATGTAGGTCCCAATACCACAAGTGCCATCATCAGTTCAGGTAAAAACTCCCATGACGTCTCCCCACTGTAGTCACTTTCAGCAGCTCCCACCAGGATGGCTTGTCCTCCTCAAAGACACTTGCTAAACCAGTAATTTTGAAATGGCAAATCCAGCCTGGAATCTAGGAGTTCCCATTTCACAAAAATGCATCCTAAGATTTGAACTTTAAGTGCAGTTTGGCAAGCTGGAGATACAAGATTTGCATACGCTTTTGTGACTCTGATGAGCTTGTGCCTCTAAGGACGCTAGAACAGTTATCCAGACAGGTTTTACAAAAGCAGAGAAGTGCGTGTCTAGGAGAGCTGTTTGTGACGTAAGAGTTGGTGGAATTTGGTCAAAAAGTCCTCCAATGGTAGTAAACTTGTAGAATTTTTAAACTTTCACTTCCTATACTGGATTTCTCACTTGAAGATTGCTAATTAGGAAGTCAAAGAGCCTTGAGTTTGAGTTTGTGGTTTAAGCAAGGGGGCAGAGGGGTTAGAGGTGGTGGCACCATCTACTAGAAAGATGTGAGAAGGTCCTGAGTCCCAAGAGCTTTTGCCATTTTTCAGAGGCTGGGAGGGCTCACAGGCAACATTGCACAGATGCTGAATTGGAAAGAAGAGAGGAAGTAGAAGCAAACTGTTCAAGACCCTGGGTTTTACTGTGAAAAGAAAAGCAAGTGACTACAGAGATTGAAGTCACCGGATGGTTTAAAATGGCCTTCGGTGTTTGGACCAGTTGTGTGCCCGGTTTTGTGTGTGTTAAGGGCACCTTGGAGAGCAGTCGGGGGGGCAGTGCTACACAGAACAGACCTGTTGGAGACAGCACCACGGGATGAAATAGCTCGGCACGAAGCATGCGAAGGCTTAGCAGAAGGAGGGAGTGTGGAGAAAAAAGCAAGAAACTGAAAAATATTTACAGTAACACAGATTTTCAGTCTCTTTTCCGAGTTAAAGAGATTATTATTCTGTTACTGAAAATCTGTTTTTTCCTCTAGATGCTTTTAGACCAGGGATCCGATACAACTTCAGAATTTATGAGCTATCTGCAGAAAAGACTGCTTACTTAGTAGAGAGAAAAACAGGATATACTCAGGAACTGGGTAAGTTTGAAGCATTTAATGTCCCTGTGTACAGACTTGTTTGGAACCATCCATAGAACTGTAGTTTGGGGCTTAGGAGGTTTTCATTCATGAGTGAGTTTTAAAACTTACTTTCCAGTCATGCAAATGTATAACATTTTCATTAAAGGCAATTTATAAAATGTTATATAAAAGGAGAAGGTAAAAATCATTGCTAATTTTAACACCCAAAGGCAAGAATCCAGAGTTACTATTTTAGGTGTATCCTAGTATTCCCTGTTTCTATAAAAATGGGATCTTATTATACACACTTTACAAGCTACTTTTTTGATTCATGTCACTAAATATTACTTATTTAATGTCATTTTCCTACTGAAAATTGCCCCATTGTGTCAAGTCACCTGTGGGACAATTTAGAATTATTACAGTGATTTTCACTTGTGAACTATAAAATTTATTTTCAAGTAAAAGTTTCTCTCCTTTCTTCCTCACTGAATCCTCTTTGTTTTACTTAAGTCCTTCCTTATTTATAGTGTTGTTTTTAAATGAGGTCCTAGAAGTGTACTATTTGTGTCAAAAATTTTGAACTTTTTCATTTTGCTTATAGCTTGTTATTTATTTATTTTTGTCTTTTTCATGTATTTTAGTACAGGAACTACAGGGTCTCACTACACAGAATGGACTCATAGTGATCCTCCTGTTTTCAGCCTCCCAAACGCTGGGATTAGAGGCGTCACCACACCCAGTCTCAGTAGCAGGCTCAGCGTGCGACTAAGGGCCAGCATGGCAGGCGGCGGATCAGACCACGGCCCCTGCGCCCGTCTAAGCAGTATTTTTGTCTTTTTTGAGACAGTGTCTCACGGTGTGATTCAGGCTGGCCTTGAGTTCACTTTTTAGCCCAGGCTGGCCAAGAACTCCCAACGGTCCTCCGGTCTTCCTGCCTCAGCTGCTGGGATTACAGGCGTGCGCCACCACCTCAGCTTGTTTATAGTTTTTAAGACTTCCCAGATGTGTCATACAGTTGTCCCCATAAGCCACAGTCATCATTGCACCAGCCCTGCGGGGCTGCCTGCCCTTCCACACTTCCCGCATGAAGGTCTTGCAGCTGCAGGCTGCACGCAGGGCCGCGAGCTGCACACGCTGCAGAACAACTCTCAGAGCCGGTTCCTCAGGGAGCTGATCCTGCTTCCAGCTGCTCTCAAACAGGCAGCAGACATGCTGCTTCTGTGTCCACGGGCACAGAACAGGCACACAGAAGTGTGTGAGAGGGGAAACAGAGCCAGGGAAGGCTTCAGAATAGATGTTTCCAGATTTTTTTCAGTGGCATTTGGATAACTGCATTGCCTCCATCTGGGAATTAGAATCTTCAAAAATGCTTCCTCTCCTTTTGCAACATAACCCTGCCTCTTTCTCCCATTCATCTTCATCTCAGTACATCTTTGTGGCTGAATTTTCCCCCCAACATTATTTAGAATTCATGCCCAGAATCGAGTGATCCTGTGCAAGTTACTGGGCCACTCTGGGTAGCTGTTTCCTCATCTGTGAAGGTCAAGGCCTAAACAAAAAGATGGTTCTACTTTTCTGTAACTTTCACAAACTCGATGAAGGCCCAAGTCCTCCTAGTAAAACTCCCTAGCCTGGCATAAGTTTCCACAGCCTTCAGAGCTGGCTGGGGTTGTGCTTTCAGTATCCGGGAATTTTCTGACATGGTTTCCAGATCCTGATGTTTTCCCGCCTCGATTTCCTCTCCTAGCTCCTTCGGACAGCCCTCAAGTGGTCGTGAGGAACTTGACATCCCACTCCTTTGCTCTGAGTTGGAAGGCCTATGACACTGAGTCCCAGAGTGGTTTCATACAAGGGTACTACGTCTGTTTGAAGTCAAACACCACACAGTGCCATCCAGATTCCGTAAGGGTGGGTCTGCCAGGTGAGGTGGCATCAGATTTGTAGATATTTTCAAGATCTTATTATTCAAAAGTATCAAGAAGGCTGCCATTGCCCTTCTCATGGAGCTTAATGATCAGAAGGATCTCAGACAATGAGATGCTGAGAAATTTGTGGGATGAGGGGGATTTTAACTTACTTACAAGATAATTGGGACCGGGAAGTCTGATCTTTAAAATGTCTGTTTATGGAACCTTTTTTGCCTTTGTTTTCCCTTGGCTTTAATTGTTCTTACTATTTTTTGTTGTTGTTGTGTTGTAGTGCATGCTAAGCCAGTATTTTACTACTGAACTACACCCCTAGCCCTATAACATAATTTAAGTCTCTTCCAAGCCCTGACATTTTCTGGAAGATTTGTCTGCTGTGTCCCCAGCATCCTTTTTCTTTCTTTTCTTTTCTCTTTCTTCCTTCTCTCTTTTCCTTGATTTTTGTTGTTGTTATAAAGATTGAACTCATGGCCTTCATACTGAGCTACATTACCAAAGTATTTTAGTTATTTTGAGACAAAGTCTTGCTTAAGTCAGTTGCAAAGACTGGGCTGGGACTTGTGATCATCTTGCCTCAGCTTCCCAGACTGCTGGGATTACAGTGTGAAGTCACCTCAGGCTTAACGTCCCTTCTTTAGTGGACTTTTTTCTTATTGTGTCCAGGGACTCCTGGGTGGTAAAATTATTTGACTTTGGTTGGTTTAAAAATGTTGATAGTGGCACAACAACAACAACAACAACAACAAAGATTTCCCTAACTTAATCTTTGGGCCCGGGAGATGGCTCAGTAGAATAAGTGCTTCCCTGGCAAGCTCAAGGGCCTGAGTTCAACCCCAGCTTCCACCAAAAAGAAAAAAAAAAAATGTTGATAGTGATATGGCATCAAGGGTATTAGTGTACCATTCTCTCACAAAATTACTAACACTTAATAATTCTTATTTTCTTTTGAAATTTAAAAATCATCTCAGATAAATCGACATGTTGTAAACATGACATCAGCGACCCAAAGCAAAAGACGTTCCTTGTGAAGAATCTGCAACCTGAATCCTTTTATGAGTTTTCTGTCTCCTCCTACACAAGTGCTGGCGAGGGCCCCAATACAACTTTCATGAAGGTCACGACCCCAGATGGACGCTGTGAGTTTTTCCCAATCAAAACACTTCCAGGAAATTCACAGGAGAAATGTGGCCTTAGGTTTTGTTCTCATCAGGACTTTTTGCTCTTTTCTTCCCTGACCTCTCCTTCGCTCCTATGTCCCTTTCACTTTGCTAAGCGCACACATACAACTCTTCTCCCCCAGGCCAAACTCACGTTGAAGCTTGCATAGATAGGTGGAGGCTAATAAACATGAAAAATTATTCTCACTCCTAAATTTATTGTTATTCTTGTGGAGGTAGAACTAATGCTTAAAGATCTTCCTTTTTCCTTCAGCCTACATGCTGATGCAGATCATACTGCCTGTGACGCTGTGTGTTTTGCTCACTGCGGTCATGTGCTACTGGAAGAGCCAGTGGTAAGTGTGCAAGGAGTGCTTTAGCCAAGGAGAGAGACAAAAAATTCTGAAGGTGTTTACTGAGATAGAAATGGCATTAAATAATAGGAAGTGCTAAAAAGGAAAAGGACACAAGAACCCCAGGTAAGAATACATAGTTTGTTTTATGATTCTGATTTCTGTGATAATACTTGAGAAAATAAGCATTTAAAGCAGTTTTCAAATGTTGTTCAATAGCCATAACTTGTATTTTCATATCACTATGTGCTTAGTGGTGTTAGGAATGCTTTCTATGGAATGAACCCACTTAATCCTGGTAACAACACTGCAAGTACTGCAGTTCTTTCCAGTTAGCCAACAAATACATTACAGCATGGAAGAGATAAGAAACTTGCTCAGTAAGGGACAGCAAGGATTAGAAGCAGAAGTCTGACCCCAAGATTCTCATTTTCAGTGACTCCATTAAACTGTGAAATACACTCTCAATTTCACTGTTTCCTAGGGTGAAGGAGAAGTGTTATCCTGACATTCCTGATCCTTACAAGAGCAGCATCCTGTCATTAATAAAGTCCAAGGTAAATGTGGAGACACTGTATCCACACCGTATACCTATTAAGGACTGATCCAGGTCTGTACTGTATGAGTCATTCCTAAGTCTTCTCTTAGATCACATAATAAATCTATTTTCAATAATTTGGCACCTCTGCTTCTATAGCTATGAAGTAGGTGATGGAAGAGCTAAGTGTAGCTCAGTGCTGGATGGCTTCTAGCATCCATGAGACTCAGGGTTCAATTCCAACACCCAAGGAAAAAAAGGAGCTGGTGGGGGAGGAGAAGAAATAGGTGATTGGAGCTCTGATTTCTTCTGTCTGCTTTTCAGTGTCAGCACTAAGTTAACTTGTGGTAAAAAAGAAATGTGAATGAAACTGAAAGCTTCAAGTGCACTTTGCATACTTAGCATTTTGCTGCATGCACACACTTGTATCTACTTAATTTTTGTTTCTTTCCAGGAGAACACACACTTAACAATAATGAATGTCAAAGACTGCATTCCAGATGCTATTGAAGTTATACACAAATCAGAAGGGACCAAGGCACAGTTCCCAGGCACTGAGAAGCTGTTCACAGAAAGTGACTCCCCCAAGCCCGCCAACCTTTACCTATTGCCAGCAGAGGATTTCTCTGGCCCTGCACCCTGTATCTCTTTTGAGAATTTCACCTATAATGCATCAGCTTGTGACTCTGATTCCTTTGCCCACATCCCAGTACCCTCTACAGCCCTGCCAAATCAGCTGGGGATGCTGGCCTCACCTGATAACGTAGAAAACACACACACAAATTCCCAAGAAGAAATCCCAGCTGGAGAAATTAGTTTGAATTATGTGTCCCAGTTGGCTTCTCCCATGTCAGGAGACAAGGACACTCTTCTGATAGATCCACCAGAACCAGTACTCTGCTCTGAGTATAAAATGCAAATGGCAGTCCCCTCACACCTTGCGTCACCTGTCCCTAGTGAAATGGCAGCCTCTTTGGAACCGTTTTAGGTCAAGGTGAACACTACCATTAATCAGCATAATCCAAGTCTACAGGCTAAACTGCTGGCCAACCAAGGCTCTAAGTATCATATGTCCTGGGCCTTATCCTAGCAAACTATCACTGCACAATTAAGACCAATAGGGTTTGGCTAGAATAAAGGCCAGAAGCTATGGCACTTATCACTCTCCCTTGCAGGCTTCAGAAATGGGAGAATCATGGAACGTGCTGGCCAGTGTTGTTTGTTCTAGGTTCATCTTTTATCACAGTAGGTTTCTGAAACAGGCATTAACCACTCACTCCACAGACCCTGACTGTACAGCATAGCTGTCTTCTCAGCTCAGTTTTTAGTGAGAAAATAACTCCATTAAAATTTATCCTCATGTTTAATATGTTAACGGTAAAGCAATTGGATTATAGGTTTTGGTAAAGGCCAGTCATTGACTAGAGCATAAATGTGAACTTATTGCATATGAAGAACTTAATAGATGCTTGACACTAAACTTGATTTTAGACTTGCCTTGGCATAGTGAGAACTTGTAATTCACTGATCAGTCAAATCAGGTCTGTGGAGTGCACAGACCTAACCTAAAAGGTGAGATGTTTGAATCAGATCTTTGCAGTTCTATGTAGCTTACTACACTGAAAGGATTGGCAAAGCACTCCTGTTCAATAGACATCATTTTCCTCCCTCACTTTTGACTACCTCAGAATAGGGGAGAAAAAAAAAATCAGAGGAACCATTCACATTTTATGGATTTTTTAAAGAACTACATACATGTAATATAAATGACCTATTTTGACTTAACTTTCTTTTGGGTTCTGTAATAGATTGTTTGGGTCAAGAAAATTCTCATTATCTTTTACATGAAAATAAAACAAAACCTTATTGTTGAATGTAACTTAAACTGTAAGAAGCTCTAAGGAGTGGGAAATTCTGTGAGGTCTGGAGCACCTGGTCTGCAGCTGGCTCTCGTGATCTGGGTTGCAGTCTGGGTCTGGACATCCAACCAACCAGACCAAGACAGAGAGCATTCAGACAAGATGGATCTGTGCTAACAGTATGGAATGTTTTGTTACTATCCAACAACAATGTAACATTGAGATGGCATTTACAAGGTATTAGATGTTAAGATGACAAAGTGTATGAAGAGGATACACACAAATTACGTATGATACTGTTCTGTATAAGGGTCATGAGCATCCACATGTGTTGGTACCTGCAGGTTGTGATCAACACCTCATGGACACTGATGACGGGGGATGCAGTGCATCTCGTACATACCTGGTAGTCCCTTTCTCTTTTGGTCAGTTAATCCTTAATGTCTGTCCTGTCTAAACAAACACATAAGGGACCTCCGTTTGTATTGTTGGCTGCTGTCAAGGTAGTGGAAATGCCTATGTAAACCCTTTGCTGTGCTACTAAATGTTGACACAATGAAAGTATCCATATCACAAGTGGCTTCAACATAAACCTATACAAACCAGTGTTGTTCTGTTCAAGATTTTCAGCCTTTTCCTTACCTATAACCCAGCCCACTACTGCTTCTTTTGTATTTTTATTTGAAATTTGTACAAAGAAATGTTAATGATATTGTTTTGTACGTTTTCATATAGACAGTTTAATCCACAAACCTTTACGTTTTCACTGTTGCAGTAATCCTCAATTAAAAATTTCACTTTCACATTGTGTATCTATTTCAATTAAATCTAGCAATTACTTATTATAGGCACTAAATCACCTATGCACTTAAAATGTAAATTCCTAGGTACACTCCAGACTTTCTAATTTGGCTCCTGGGCAGAGGACCTAAAATCCAATACTGCTCTGTTTAAGCTGTACTCAGTTCCCAGGCATTCAGATTCACAAACTTTGACAATTCTGACCTAAATCACATAAAATCCTTTTGAAATAGAGTAATACATTAATAGGAAATGCTTTAGATATACAACTTTGTGCTTACTGTGCCTTTTAGTTGCAGCTATAAACATTTTTCTCCAATGTTTGTAATAACAAGTACAATGGCATCTGAAACTTGTTTTCAATACGTTATCATAGCATTTAGAAGTGTCACTCAGAAACTTTGAAACGCATCAGAAGTATGAGGTTGAAAACACTGAAGCGTTTTAAATACACACAAAAGTAGAATAGTTTAATGAAATTATATTGCCTCATCAGCCTTGACAGCTACCACTTAACTGTTTCAGTCCCATTCACACCCAACCTTACAGTATTTGGAAAGAAATATTTCATCTGTAAATATTTCTCTAAATGAACTGTACCTGTTTGTAACACTTATTACCTGTAAAAAATTATAATGAAGACCCAATTAGTAGTAATCCCTTGAAACTATCATTGTATTTAGATAGCAGACTGGACATTCATGACTTATTACATCAGTCTGCAGAAAAATCTGTGCAAAGGGACAGGCTAGAAGCAGGGACTTTTTACACAACAGTCAGACCTAGAGAACACTTGCTGACATTTGAACACCCAATCCATATTAATTACAATCAAGTTGAATTAGATTTAGCTAATATTGTTTCCAAGAGCTCTGTTGAAAAATAAGCTGTCTTCATCTCAAAGACTTTAGAAAAACTGTGAAACAGTCTGCATGAAGTACTTTTAACACCTACAAGAGAGATAATGAAAGTCCACAGAACTGGCAGCCAGGTGTGGGGGTGGGGACACGTCTGTAATCTCAGGAGTTTGGAGTCTGGGGCAAGAGGATTATTGCAAGTTTGAGACAAGCCTGGACTACAAAGTGAGCTCAAGGCCAGCCATCTCAAAGTTTTTTTTTTAAAAAAGGTTCTATAGCAAAACAACCATATAAATTTAAGTTGAAAGACTAAGCATATGTAGTTTAGTTTCCTAAGAGAAAATAAGAACAAAGCTTTTACATAATACTCAGCAATAATTTGAGTGTTTTATATGCTAGAATTTTAAAAACACTTAAGGATAGTTATGACTTTCTCAAAAAATCAGCTGAATGATGACAATATTAAGTATGTGTGCTAGTTTATTTGGGGGAAATTACATTTCTGACTACAGTGCAAGTTCATGGGGAAAATGACACACATAAGTAAGTGTATAAAGACCAATGTATCTGAGATAAATCTAAGACTTTTTTTTAACCATATTTTTCTAACTGTTAACAGTCTCTAGAATTGGTAATTTTGCCTGTGGTATACTTCTTTTGCCACTAGATGGCCAAGATTAACCTAATGCGGGGGGGGGGGGGGGGGGGGAGGACTCTATGGCATGCATGTCACAGTGGGTCCAAAAGGTTTGCCATCACTGATTCAGGCCACTTTATAAAAGATAGTACATTCTTTTCCCAAAAAACCATTTTCATATCATCATTTATATATTAGTGCCTCGAAAATTCACAGCTGTTCTACATAAAGCTATTTCCATTTTCCAATCCTTAACAATGACTTGAGATTTTAACTAGAGTTTTGATTAAATTAGAAAGAATGTTTAAGAAGGTACAGTGTAACTTTTAAAATATTTTGAAGAGTCACTGTTACTGAATGATCCTGGTACATGGTACCTAAAACCCACTTTTGCTGGGAATCACATGTATCAGCATCAGGAATATATGATTTAAAATCAAGGCCATAAGACCAGATTGTTTTAAATTTTTAAATAAAATACCATCATCACAAATTTAAGAATTTTAAGTAAATTTTATTAACAACGTATCCCTTTGATAAGATTATGCTTCAGGAGGCTTTTAATGCCCTTGACATAACTGTACACATTATACAAAAACAAGAAAACCACAACAACAACAAAAAAATCAAGGTGAGCAAAACCATTTTGAGACAAATCTTATTTAAATTATACACAACTCAATGAAATATTCTTACGGAAAATATATAAATACTTTTTCTTTCTATGTTACAGTTATACAATATAAATCCAATTTCAATGTGTTCAGTGACCTACAAACACCAGAACCTCCAAATATGTAGCAGCGTATTACTAAATTAAAAAAAAAAAAAATCATGTGGTTAGAGAGCATAAAGTCTTGAGATTTTTTTTCACAGCCTCTTACCACTCTTCAAAACTAACTTACATCATCTGTTTTCTAATGCATCTTTAGGGTTTCTGACAGGTCAGTAATGGAACATTTTTTTCAACAATCATCTATAAAATGTTTTTCACTCCCCTCTCCACCCTAAGACTGCATTTTGTGCTAAATCAACCTAGTTAAGTGGCAACAGTGTAAGATATGCTTACTTTTGGCATACGTTATATTTTTCAAATTAAGTATTTTATAAAGAATGTCAAATGAAATGTGCAATTTTTGCATGCTGTGGTGTAGTTACCACGTACAATACAAAAATACTCCAAAGGGGGAAATATCCACATTCTGTTCAGTCTTACATATAAACCTTGTATGAACGAACACTACCCTGGAAACCTGGAACTAAAAAGGGAGGAGGGAGAGAGGAATGATCCTAGATGAATCACAGATTTCAGCATTTATTGATAAGCACTGCTATTAATCTCAATGGCTGGCTTTCTAATGAAACTCTCCCTGTAGTGACACTTGTGAAGTTAAAGATGGTAACAATGTATTATTTTGTAAATACAAAGCAAAGCGACCTTTCCCAGTTTATATTCTGAAAAATCTCAATGTTCATTCATTCCAAACAGTCTTTTTATAAATCTCCCAATTAATTCTACCTTTTCTTTTTTTCTTCCGTTTAAGGGATCATGAATCTGAGACAAAACTAGAAGCATAGGAGTAAAGGGGGGAAAAATCCTTACTTCCAAAGAACATTTCCCAAAGTACTTTTAAAAGTTCTCACAAAATTAGCACCTCACTCTTACCACGCAAAATTAACTGAAGCTATAATTTGAAAAACAGACAATTTGGTTTTTATTGCTTAATGATCTGTGCTTTAATAAAGGGATAAAAGGCATCATCTGAATGGAATGAAAGAAATTTTATATAAATAGCAGTAGATAAATCTAAATAAGCACTGACATCTTACTGTTGAACATTTTGCCATTATTAACATAACCTGAAAATTTTACCTTTAATTATTTTAATCTCTACACAACAAAGAGTTGAAAACCCATAAAGCTACTGTTTCTAAAGGACTGGTATACTTTATAATACTTCCAAAAAGCTTCTTTCAATGTCGCTGTCTTACACAATGTCCTTATGTTGCTAATCTTTATTAGAAAAATTTTAACTAGGGAGCACACACTCCCCCCTCCAATATGCCTAAGAACAAATGAGAAATAAAAGTGTAAGAAACTTTAGAGTATATTTAATTATGAATAATACACTTCTAATTTCCCTATTTACTGATGTTTACTTAGTACAGGAAGCTGACATTCATTCTTTAAAAATTCAATTAGAAATGACAATTTACAATTAGAAATTCACAGTTTATAACCATCATAACAGATTAAATTCCTGCAAATTATTCAATAATTACCAATAGTACAAATTTATATGGACTAAGATTAATTCTAAAATCTTGAAAAACTATAGAATATTAACATTATTTTGGTATTCTACATTCTTGGTAGTATCTATTATTTAAGTTATTTTTCTCGATTATTTCTATTACCACTGACACCATTCCTAACCTGTTCTGCATAATTTAGTATTTTTAAAGACCTAAGTTAATCACTTGGCACTGCAGTATTTTTCATAAGTCTACTTTTATACAAACAAGTACTCGTATTAGACCTGCCAATAAAACCATGAGTAAGCCCAATAGCACTATAAATTTAACTGTAGACATTTTTTGGTAGTATACTGAAAATCACAAAGCTGAATGTCTTTCCAAAGTAAGTGCTATAAGCAGGTATGCTGACATACACATACATGTCTTTCAAATTAACAGAGAAAAAAAAACACCTGTTCAGGTGAACAGTAACAGACAATTTCAGGATGGGTAACTTAGGCAGGGCACAGGATGAAGATCAGTGTGTACATGTATGTGACAAAAGGTTAATTTCTGTTAACTTTTCAGGGATTAAACCACAGATTTTATACTGTATATTGACTGAGGTAGTGTTTAAAATGAATGTCTAAAATATGTTAATCCTATTACTAGTAAGATTACTTTGTTACTTCCTTTGAAGGTTTTAACAACTATTTGGTCTAGTATTTTTGACATTTGGTGCTCTGGAAAGGCAGCTATAATTATCCAAGACCAAAGAGCAAAGTGATAAGCAATATTCTTAGAAGCACTGTTAACATTTAAATAAACACTTGGGTTCAGTGGTAAATTAAAAAATTATTTGTTTTACCTTCTTTGAATCTTATGAGAGAAAATCTGAAGACCCCTTCTTAACATAAGCAGCAGCTTACAGCCCTTATCTGCTTTGTTGCAATGTAAGTTGCTACACAGTGCACATAAGAACAATTCACTGAAGTGCAGTCAAAGAGGTGGCAGGAAGTGAGATGAAAGGCTTCATCCCAAATGGGAACTTTCAGTGCCAGTTAAAAAAAAGCATCTTTGTGAGTTACATTTTCTAGTTCACAGGGTTTTTTACAGAGATTTCAAAGAACAAATCCATTACAAAAAGGATCTGCAACATGAAAAAATATAACATGAACCAATAGTCTATGACTGTCAACGCTGATTTGTAATTGTAGAAATGGTCTACAGAAATGAAATTAAAAAGGGTAATCAGTCCAGCTGGATTTTT